GCCGGTTAGATTCAATGCCTCGAAAACTAAACTAGTTGGATTCTGTCATCGCCGATCGGACCGTAAAGATGAATTTATGTTCTGTTAGGAAGGCCTCATGTTTTGAGCGACTATAATAGTCTTAAACTCAACACAGATATCAACTGGAACTGGTACATACGATCATCTGCTAAAGTTGCAGGAAAATGGTCAGTTCTCTGTACCGGTCCGGTAAGTTCCTGACTCTTCGGGTTTATCTTCTACATTTACAAGAACCAGATCAGACCTAAAATGGAGTACTGCTGTCATATTTGGAAAGGAGCTGTCACGTCCTCACTTTTCAGTCTCAATAGTGTTCAAAAGCGTCTCCACATCATTGTAGGTGACAAATTATTTTCTACCCTCAAACTCCTTTTTCACAGACGAAATGTTGCAAGCCTCTCTCTTCTCTATTGGCACTTCCACGGATATATATGCTATATTCTTTGGTTCCACCAGGCCTAACCTTCACAGCTAGGACCCGTCATGCCACAAATATTATAGTGAGCCACCCTCATTCCATTCGTATTCCATTGATGAGATGTATGTTCCTCTCGAGCAGCTTCACCCCGCCGACTACTGCTCTGGAGAACCGATTCCCAATTGGATGTTTTCCCGATCACTACAATCTTAACCAGTTAAGTTTAGACTTGAACTGGTTAAGATTGTAGTAACCCTTATCTTTCACGCATATCCGCATAAAATGTGCTTATTACTCTGTAACCCTCTACTTTGAGAGGCTCCCTGGCCTTGTACAGGATCAACCTCACTGAAAAAAAGAAGAAAAACATAGAAGAGATGGATTAATACCTTTTCCAGGAAAATTGTGCGTAAGAGAATATAACGAAGCCGACTGGAATCACCCGTCTAGGTACTGACCAGGCTCGATGTTGCTTAACTTCGGTGATACTACGAAAATCGCTTCTTCAGCCTTTATTAATACGGATTATGGCTTTAAAAATAGCTTTTGATTAATAGATTAAATTAAAAAGTCAATAATTATTTTATTTCAATGTGACTTGTTAAGCTTCTTAATTATAAATTAAGCGTATCACTTGTGGACATAGAAAAAGGAAAACTGGAAAGATAGGTTGAATAAAAAAAAATCCTTCACAGGGAATTTTCTTTCGATAATCCATCATTAATAAAACAGGACGATTAACGACTGTCACGTGACATTTTGATATCCGACCCAAGTCAGACCATCGGGTCGGCTTTCTTAAACACATTTGTTAAATGTTCATTGTGTCATATACTCCATTGCAGTGAATATTCTGCGATTTAAAGTTGAAATTAGTGAAGGAAAATAACTGAATTAATGCCACATTTCATTGTATTAAGCAGAATACATTTGTAGAAATCACTTCCGTATTCTTGCTTACCAATCAGTTTTGATCTTCAAAAATTTAAATGCAATGTCAATCGTTATCTTTTGATATTTATTGTTTCGTCTCCTTAATAATATTTTTTCTCATATTTTCTAACATTCAGTGACCCTTGTGTCTTAGTGTCTGTATTGCTTTACTTGGGGTGAAATGATTAAAAAAAATATACCAATTAGTACTATTATAATAAAAATATTTAATTGATAAATACTAGATAGTAATCCGTGATTAGTAAAAAGTAATATATAACAAATAATAGAAAATAGCAAATTAATTGCCAAATATATAAAAAACCATTTCCAAAAGTGTAGTTGCTGTTAAAACTGTTTTAAGCAATAGAAAACAAATAGAAAAAAAAATCCACAAAACTAAATAAACTTTAGAATTCAAAATGACTCACCTAAAAATTCGAACACACGCCCTATTTTAAAAAAAATGTTATGTTCAAACATAAATAAACAAAAGTTAGTTATTCTCACCAATGTATAAATAAATTAGCAAATATAATATATACTATCCTAGAAGCGGCTATTCGGGTGGACTTTAGGCTAACTCCTGTGGATGGGGTATTGGGCCTTCGGCCTTTTATCTTCAGAATCCTATGTACGTAAAAATTATAAGAATTTAGAAATAATAAAATTATTTTATCTTTATTCAACACCCTAATTCGTCATAATCTTTCTTCGTATACGCAATCGATCTCCGTGGTTTGTTTACATTTATTTTACGCGCAATTTTTCTTTTCATTAAAATCACCATTCTTTATGATGCCTTCACGCAAAGTCACACTTAAAAGACATGAACTGTGTGTAATATTACGAATACGTCACAGTGCGCGTGCTAGAAAAAGAAAAAAAAAACAATATATGTACACCATACTGTGCCCCACTTAAGTTTTAATTATGGTTTAATTAGACAATTAGATAATTTAATTATCAATTGCAATTGCGACAAATTAAACTGAAAACCTTTCACACTGTTTGATATTTGAATTTAACTTTAAATGAGTTCTTTATTTAATTTATAATTGTGTTTACATGTTACTTCAGGTTGTTTATGATTCGCCGAGATAAAAAATAAACGGACGGACATACATACACTGCGCATTATTTATATAAACGATGCATAATAAAAGTAATATAAAAATAAGAATATATGATAATATATAAAATATTTGTAACAAAGTTGGTACTTTTTAAACGACAATCGATAACTAGTAAGCCTAAATAACTAACAAATAGATGTTATAACATAAATAAAATATTTATTTTAATAAACAGAAAATAAAAAATACATAATAATATAACACAAAAGAATAGATAGATAGATAGATAGATAGATAGATAATGGAATATGCATGCACCTGTGTTCACCCTCACTGGAATATGATTGGCTGGTGTCCGTCATAAATACCGACGGATGTGTACGAGAGTCAAGAGCCTTAGTCTGAGAGCTAAGTCTATAACGACACCCATTTGACTACGCCATTGATCTACACTTCTTACCTGCGACTACGACGCGTACCAGTCGATTACTGCTACCGTATTCTACTTGGTTATAGTAGCCAAAACTACTTAGCTACTTCGTTCGGGACATATCAGATAGATAGATAGATATATATATTAATGGAGACAGATAAATAAAAAACAATTATTGGGCTGGCTAAAAAGTTAATTCGCTTATTAAGTAGAAAATTTACTTAATGAACTTTTTGGCCATTCCAATATTATATTAGAATATTTAGAACATATATCTATATATTAGAATTTTTAGGACATAAATCTGTATATTAGAATATTTACGAAGCTTAATTTAGTGTGGGATATTACCAAATAAAAGCAGTTAATTTGAAACAAGCTAATAAGGTGGTGTTTCACCAGTTTTCTAGGATGTTAAGCTGCCTACCTTTTAAAATGAACATTCTAAAAGTGGCTCTTATATGAACTCAAAACATCGACAAATGTTAACAGTGAACATGCGCAACTAACTTCACATTATTTAATTATTGCTTTGCTAAGTTTTCGGCTGATATATCTTCTTTATCTTTCTTTAAGTCAATGTTGTATTCGGTATTTAGAATTAACTTTCTACCTATTGAAAGTTTTCTTTTTCTCCCTGCTTTTAATTGGAATATAGAAGACGAAAAGAATCTTAATTTGGCGACGAAGGTTTTGTCTCAGTTGTGGAAACGAGAGGAACTCTCGTCAATTCGGAATTTGGCCTTTATATGTCATATTCCTATATCACCAGTTTTTCTCTCTACTTAGTCTTTTTATTCTCTTTTTGCCTTGAATCTTAGGCTCGAACATGAATCGTTTGACTTCAGCTAGCAAGATTGTGCTGCGCCACACTATCAAATGAGGAAAGCATTCTTGCCTTGAAAATAAGCTTTCGAAAGCCCGACTTTTAAGTAGTCTCGAACACGGACAGTTGGAAACATTAATGAAGATGCAATTATCTCTACCAGGGGACAGATCTTTTTTTTTATCATTATCTTGATAAATGGTGAAAAATTCAAATTAAAAATATATGACGGTATAAAAGGTTTGGCTTTAGTAAAACTTTTAATGAGTAAAATAAATACAACTTTTTATTTTCAAGCTTCTTTTAATTTTTCAGTGCGATAATAATGTGTTCTTTTTGTTTTTTTAGGTAAGTTCACGGATTATTTCCAATTTTGAAACAACGGAAATAGCAAAATGAGGTAACGTAAATGTGACCTTTTTTTACCCTTAATTTCTATCTCGACTCAGTGAACATTATTATTGCTTTCATCCCAGCTTTCTGGATCTATTACTCTCCGATCTCGAAAGTAAATCGCACAGAATAGGAACATTATAATGATACTTGAAGTCTAGCTCCTATCTCATGGACAACAACCAAACCATTTAGGTCATGGGAGCCTGAAGCACGACGAGCACCAATCTACTATCATAATGCCGCGTCTACGATCCTCACTGGGTGCCCCCTACTGTCGGTCTTGTACCATAATAGCGTGTCTAAACTGCAAATATTCACGCCTAGTAAAAATCGTAAATTATGAAGCGAAGCATTTTCTCGTTCATTTTGGACGTGTCTTTTCTTCATCTTATTTTGGCCTTTCTGTCTAACTTTATCAGCCGAATATTTTCAAAATGTTGAAATAAGTTGCAGAAAACAACAGTCTGTTATTTTGAATAAAGTTTTGATAAAAACTAATAAGATAAAAAGACTAGGAACAAAAAACAATGATGAAAATGCTTGATGTCAGACTTGAAATGATTGGGTTTGGTTTTGTTGAAATTTATTCTTTGTTGTAATTGTGATAAAATCTTCAAAGGCGAGGGTGAAAATGTTTCATGATTGTTGACGGCGCTCGATTCTCCTCCAATGCATTTGGAAAGCAGAAACGATTTGTATTCAATGTTATTTTCATCTAAACAGACTGGCATAGAAATATCGAGAATGAAATACAGAAATATGAACAGAGACAAATGAATAAGATCGAATTCGATAATGAAATGGATAGGTATAAAATGATATAGAAATACAATCAGACTGAGGTAGATAGTATGATAGAAAATGAAAATAGATATGAAGAAAATGAGATAGGTATGATCAGGCTGTGATAGATAGATAGATAGATAGATATGAGTTAAGTGTGTTAGATAGATAGGAAGACACACACACACACGTATATATATATAATGAGACAGTGATATATAGATAGATATGAACAGAAATTGATATGAACAGAAACTGATAGATAGATAGATAGATAGATAGATAGATAGATAGATAGATAGGAAGAAAGGTAGATAGGAACAGACATAGATAGATATAATTAGACAGTGATAGGTATATAGATAGATACATATAAAGAGGAACTGATATAAGCAAAAACCTGATATAAACAGAATGTGATAGATAGATAGATAAATAAATAAATAAATAGATAGATATAAACAGACTTAGATATGAATAGACAGACAGATAGATAGGTAGATAGATAGATAAATAGATAGATAGATAGATAGATATAAACAGACTTAGATATGAATAGATAGATAGATAGATAGATAGATAGATAGATATAACCAGACTTAGATCTAAATAGATAGATAGATAGATAGATAGATAGATAGATAGATAGATAGATAGGAAGAAAGGTAGATAGGAACAGACAGAGATAGATATAATTAGACAGTGATAGGTATATAGATGGATAAATATAAAGAGGAACTGATATAAGAAAAACCTGATATGTACAGAATGTGATAGATAGATAAATAAATAAATAGATAAATAGACTTAGATATGAATAGATAGATAGATAGATAGATAGATAGATAGATAGATAGATAGATAGATATGAACAGAATGAGTAAATATGATTGGAAGGTAATAAGTAGAGAAAATGATTGCACAGAGGAAGATTGAAAAATAGATACGAACACACTGTTGTCAGATATAGACGACCAACTAGTCGCACATGCACACACATATATATATATATATATATATATATATATATATATATATATATATATATATATGGAGAGAGAGAGAACGAGAGAGAAAGAAAGATAGATGAACACAGAAATAGAGATATAACACTAATGTCAGCCTAGATATATATTGATAGATAGGAAAAGACTACGATAGATAAATAGATAACTATATAGATATTAAACGACTGAGGTCAGTATAGATAGATATATAGATATGAAAGACTGAGTTAGATATGAAAAACTGACATAGATAGCTATAAAGATAGATATCTTATACATATGAAAAGACTGACTAAATAGACAGAGAAAGAGAAAGAGATAAGGATAGATAGATAGATATGACAACACTGAGGTCAGAATCGAACAATAGATATATACCTAGATAGATATGAAAATACTAAGTTAGATATATAAGATAAGGCTAACATAGATAAATAGATATGAAAAGACTGACACAGATACATAGATAGTTGTAAAAAGACTGACATAGAGAGAGAGCGAAAGAAAAGATATACTACGTATATATATATATATATATATATATATATATATATATATATATATATATATATGCCAACGCTGGGGTCAGCGTAGATAGATATATATAGCGAGATAAATATGAAAATATAAAGTTAGATATGAAAAGACTGACATTAATAGATACATACATAGACACAAAAAGACTGACATAGATAGATAGATAGATAGATAGATAGATAGATAGATAGATAGATAGTGTGTGAGTGAGTGAGCGAGTGAGTGAGTGAAAGAGATAGATAGTTAGACATGTTGAGAGCGAAATGTATAAAAACTAATTAAAGATCATGTATTATTTTCCTCGCTGATGGACAACTGCTCGGAATTTTTGTATGTCAAAGCTGATTAGGCTGAAATAAAAAGATTTGATGGCACTATTGTCGAAATTATCGATGAACGTAATTCAACTGGCCGTTCTCAAGAGTACAACAGCAAGAAAATGTCGCCTCTTCAAGGGCAAACACAGTGTCTGAATTTTAAATTAGAAAACCCATTTCAACCGAGATTAACTGGATGACCTAATCCACTTGAATTATCTCCAGATCCAAAACTTGTTACTTGGGCCCCAAGTCCTATTATAATTGCAACACGAATTCATAACTTGCTTTATTGATACAGAATATTCAAAGCGCGGCGAATGAAGGCTGAAAGATAGTGTTACAGCATTCTTTGAAGATACATATACTCTGAAAAACAAATGTTTCCACTGGTGGATAATATGCAAATATTTCAGTTAAGAAGCAGTTCAAATATTCTTAAGGCATATATTGTACCGTAGTAGTAGTGGTGATGGTGTTAGGCTAACATTATTATTATGTAAGGTGAGGAAACGGCAGAGACTCTTCATTCGTAATAGATGAAAATGGTTTATTTTTCTTGATTGTGCAATTTGATTTTCTTCAAGAAACTCACCGCTTTGGTATCAAACTTCATGACAACCAAATCAATTTTTAAAGCATTGAGCTAGTAAATGTGACAAAACTTTTGCTATTCTGGGTTCACTGAAGCGTGGTGCTTGTTCAAATTGCGCAACCCAGAAATACCCAAACCAATTTAAGCAAACAAGGCGGAATTTAGCCGCTTGTACCACACCTGGGGCTGTTTTTGATGCAACTACATTCAGCTGGAAAACCATAGCGTCTACCACTGTCCACCGCCAGCATCGTCCCCAGCCGCCGGCCGAGAACTGGTAGGACAATTGACTAGTACAAACACAACTCATCACAGCGAGTCGACTGAATGCTTTTTATTTTTGAATAACAAAAAATTGAGACAAAACAATGCCCAAATGAACCAACCGGATTATTCAGGAGTTTTATTTCAACTGACAATCATCGTCTTTGCTATATTTGATATATACGTCGCTCATTTCATCCCAAGCAAGGCAATAAAGCCACTAAGATGCAAGAGATTACTGAATGTGAAAGAATAAAATATTAAGGAGAGAGAGAGAAAAAACAAAGAACAGGAATCAAAAGACAAAAGATGACGACTGACGTTGCATTTAGATTTTTGAAGATCAAAGTTGAGAGGAAAGAAAGAAGCCCAAAAAGAGTTCTACAAGCAAGAAATGCGAGAGAAGACGTTGTTAGTACAGAATATACGGTTACATCTAGCCACATTTCGTACTTTAAAATGATGAAACTTTGCCGCTAATCTAGTACTGCGCTTAAATTCATGAAATTTAGTGATAATAGAGGAAAGTCGATTAGAAAAATGATCAGGAAAGTATTTATAGGAAATGCACAAGGAAGCTACATTACGGAGGTGGGAAAGTAATTGGTACCGAGCTGCCAGGTCAGGACCAATAACATTAAAGTTTTTTCTTTATGTTTTATCAAGAATCTATAAATATATAACAGAAGCACCAAACCAGATCTGACAGCAATATTAAAGGTATGGTCGAATGGTAGACTTATAAACACAGTGAACGAAATTTCTTAGCATCAGCCTTAGCAATTGATTCAATATAATCTTTCCACTTCATGTCAGCGGAAAAATTTAATCCAACGTGGTACAATAATTTACTCCTGAAGGTTAGCATCAGCCATGCTGATAGAAGGAAAAAAAAAGGTTTTCTGAGGCGATTAAAAGAGAGAAAAGTTAAAACAAATGATGTTATTTAATTGTGTCAGAACAGCTCAATGTCGGGGCTTTCCCTTACATTCCATGGTTACAGAAATATTTGATTCATCTCACTTTTGTTTCAAACAAACGATTTATTGCGATGATTCATCGAATAATCTTCATTAAAACATAATTCTTCTACTTTGTACTGTGCCCCTTCATGGGTCTCCCCAACATCCTGTCCTCTGTTGCTCTTAACAATGTTAGTCCTTTTGCTGTCTCCCCCAAATCCCTGTTCTGCCAAGCAGTTACACAAACTCATTAGGTAAGTTATTCACTGCTTCCGCCTGTCCTTCATGCTTTCAACATGTTCTGTGTGTTAAATTTTCCAAGCCCTCTTTCCTCAATATGGAACCTAAAAATTTCAACTCTCTTTTTATGATTCTAAGTACACAACACAAATTAGATATATTTATTTTATTACTATAAACGTTATTTTTAATGTGTATATATTTTTGTGATATATTCCTGTTCTTTTTTTTAACAACCAGCATAAATTGAGAAATCCTACAAAAGAAAAAATTGTTTCCGACAGGGATCGAACCTATATCTATTTTTTCCCCATCAGGAAAGCACTTTTTGAACCAAAGTGAACCAGTTTGATCTCAGAGACTAGCGTGATTGATCAGCGTTCGAATTACTTATTTAACAAAAGCACGTTTTTCTCTTTGGGACTTCTATGAATCTATATCTACTAGCTTCAGTTTCTTACCTGAAAATATACAAAGGTAATTTTTGAAATGATCAAATATATATATATATATATATATATATATATATATATATATATATATATATATATATATATATATATATATATATATATATACGTTTATATTCATTGTCTTTTTTCACTGTATTTTCACCACTCCTCTGCCTTTTTCCTTTTCAAAGTCCTTCCACCCTTTCAACACCTACTTTATTTTTTTTTTTTTTTTGTCTCTGTTGAGATCTCTTTCTTTTGTTTTTTCTCTTTCATTTTGCTTTTCTTTTTGTTCAATTATTTCTTTCATATTTTCTTTCTAGTATTTTTCTTTCTTCCTTCCTTCCCCTGTTTCATTTTTCATCTCTCTCCTTCCTTTACATCTTTCTATTCATCCCTCTCCTTCCTTTATCTTTCTGCTTCCCCCTGTCTTTCCTTCCTTTATCTCTTCTTTCATCACTCTCTTCTTCCCTATCTCTCTCTAATGTCTTTTGTTTTATTATATTCTTTTTCCTTTTTCCTATCTTCATTCTATTTCGTTTAACTCTTCCTTCATTTACGCCTCTCTCTCTTTTTACCCTTCTTTTATATTCTCTACCTTTTTTTACTCCATTTTTATCTCTCAGCTTCCACTCTCTTTCACTTTCTCCTTTCTTGATCTATCTTCTTCGCTTCCTCTGATTCCTCGTTTTACTTTCTTCATCTCTCTTTTTTCCTTTACATTTCTCTTTTCATTTCTTCATATCTCTTTTTTCTTCCCTCCACTTTCTTCATTTCTCTCCTTTTATCTTACTCCCTCTCTTTATAATTCCATTCTCTCGATTTTTCTTTCCTTTTTTTAACCTTTCTTCGAACGTCTTTCCTTCGATGCAGTATAAACTCCGAAATAAATAAAAAAGTAATTAAATGATCCTCTTAAAACTGCATTGATTTCTTAAATTATACAACCGCATTTTCTCAGTTATGCAGACGACACTTCATACTGACCCTTTCCTACGTTCGCGCCGGTTTTGAAATAATGCAGATACTGAAAATACATTTTCTTTCACCCCAAAATAAAAACAAAAACAATAATAAACAAAAAAATCAATTAATGTCCACCCTGTGGGTTCATTCTTAGATTCTGCCTCTTTTTCTCCGTCTTTTTTAACCTCCCACTTCAACTTTCCTGCTGAACGCGTCTTGTGACGTCAAACGGATTTTTTTTCTGATTTCTTTAAAACACGATGCTATTTTAAGGCCCACGTGACACATTCATTTCTTCCATCTTGTTCTACCTTTGCTTTGTTGCAATATTTTTTTCTTTTTACCTTAAATGAATGTGTGAAATTGCAATTTGCGGATGGTACCCCCACCACCACCAACTAAAATCACAACAACATTAATAACAATTATATTAAAAAATACTTTTCATTCTGAAAATTGCCTCTGAGGTATATTTTGTTTCTGCAGAAATATTTACAAATAATAAAAATTAAATTCATAGCAATAGCGGGTTTGGACCAATGGACATGGAATAAATCAATGTATTTAGAAAATCGAGGTTTTATTTTTGTTACTTGGTTACTGATCACCATTAACTTTGATTATCTCAAAGGGACAAAATGCCGATTTTAACTACTACACGGCCTAATGAGGTTTACTTCTCTTTTTTGAATGAAACTATGACAAAAGCAACATCTGGCGGTCGAGGAGTTCAAAGTGAAAGTAAAACCAGTATTTATTTTGGAGAAATAAAGATTTCAAGCCAATCACCATTGTATTTCAATCCACACTAAATGTTCACGCGTGTATAAATGTGTATCCAGTTACGTGTGTGTATGTATATACGGTCCTTATGTGTACGCGTATGTAGGTTTCTGTCCAGTCCGCGTGGCTGTGTTGTCAGTACATGCAGACAGCAAAAGTATTGTGGGCTACTTAGTTACGATTTGTCATGCGCATAATTTTTGAGGCGAGAGACACTTCTTTGATATGATAAAAATGTTACTGAAAAAGAAAACATTATTTCATTAATTGTCGAAGGTATACAGGTTTTTCGTACGCCCTAATAATAGCATTGCTATTCGCCCAGCCTGGGTTTTTACTTATCATTATCATTATTAATCTGGTCTTAGAGAATGTAAATTTTCCACCCTAACTTGCAGAATGGTCTTTGGAATCACGCTAAATTGTTTCGGAAGTTGTGACGGCACGTGTAGTTGAATATGTGAATTATTTTGTAATAATGGTTTTAGCAAACCTTTTGCCCAAATTCCAGGGAAATGGAATTGCTAGGAAGACGAGGAAAATATAAATCGATGGAAAAATGTAACACAGAAAGTAGCTAAGAAGTAAAGAGCGATAGAGAGAAATTCGATCAACGATGTGTTAATGAGGATGAACGGAAAAAAAAGCGGAATAAAAATAATAGCTATCAAG